AGATGCTGTCAGAAATGACACAAATGACAGCTAAATGGCGTCTAGATATTTTCACCTACCTTAAATGGATGAAGGGTGTGCATCATGCCTGAGATATGAACCAATCATCTTTCGATCACGTTGTCTGACGCTTAAACTAAAATCTGCCGTGGTAATGCAAAATGCGTAAGGAAGGCAGTGCTATTTAGGGTGATTAAACATTGGTAACCACATGCTCTCATATTCTAGCATAACAAGACAGTTGGATTGAATTTTTCAGAAAGACTTCAAATATACGTTAATGTACATCAACATTTGATAACGGAGTACAATCAACTTCGTCCTTTATTCAAGTGGTAGAATAGACGGCCAAATGCACTAATTGGCGTCCTTATTCCCCGAATGATTCATTGTCAGAAAAACAGTTCATCAGCACGAATTATTCAACTTGCTGGTGGAATGTATTTTGCTAAAGAGTGCTACCTCAAAGTAATGCGAAAGAGTTGCAGCATTACCAATCAGTACTCTGGTGGATATTAATTATGCCTTTGATATCGCCCTGCTGAATTACTCAGAAATGGTCTACATACTCGAATAACAGCTTGTGCATGCACAGTACGGCGTAGTAATAAGGCTAGAGGTGGATCCCTTCCTAATGGAAATAAATATGTTCTGGGATGTACGCTGAAACAGAAGATCGGAACCACAGCTATGAACCGGTTTGTTGAACTGAAAAACTTGAACTTTACTATGAACAGTAATTAGGAATTGAATGAGGCACCTATTCGCTGCCGGCTTGAATAACAATTAATTGTTTTCGATTCTCGACCCAAGGATCAAGGTAGCAATCGTGACCAGTGTTTCCATGAATTATGGTTCGGAAACGGCCACCATTAACGATTATGAACTTGACACGCTGAAAATGGAAATTTGCCAGCTTAGAAAATGAAGCAGATACTCAACGATTGTTTACCGCTCTGATATGACCCTTTCCCTGGTTATAAACTAGCTCATCTTCATTGGTCCACGTTCAGCAGTTTTGTTTACAAAATATACCGCGAATGTGGCAGTACTATCAGATCAGATACTCACAAGTGATAGTGACTCCTGGCTTAAGGAAAAGGTAATGAATAAGTAACGTCGAAAATGGATCTCTGTCTGAAACAACAAGCCGCGACAGGTCACATCGACTTGTTAGCGGATAATGCCTGTCATAACAGGCATAATTCCTGAAGCCAGGTCACACGAAGTAGTGGTACTTCCTTTAGCTCCAAGACGCCTAGGAAACCACACAAGAGAGCTGTTCCGTGATGGTGTGGTATATGCAGTTCATAGCTACAACTTGCATCAATTCATTTGACAGCTGAGGCAAAATTGGAAACAGCATCAATTATTCATATTTGGGTACAACTCTCAGTCTTTTACAAGATGCAGGCTTGCAATAATTCATTGGAGTGGCCAATTTTGCGTCCTAAGGTGAATGAAGTGATTTAAATGGTGGCCATTTTTTCTTTCATTATCAGAATATCATATTTCACTTTTGTGGACTTCTAGAGAGCAGGATTTAGTTAATCTTTTTATAATTCGCTTTCTGATGCCTTCGTCCCTTCAAAAAATTCATAACATCGCCTGTATTGCCACATATTGAACACTTAAGCAGGTTGGTGCCCCACTTCCATAATGGACAGACGGACGAATGGACGGTTGGGTGAATGAGTGAATAGGATAAAGCATTAACTAACTGTCTGATTCTTTGTTCAGTGAATAGATTATTAAATGTGGCAGATCAAAAACTTGGATATCATATCTCTATTCAAACTCATACGAATCATGACCAAAGGCCGAGGATGAGAAGACTCGATTTTATTTGGCACCTCATTTCGTAATTTAATTTAATTTAAATTTGAGTGATGGAGTTTGCTCTATTAGCAGAGGATTGAGTCCACAAAAATTGACGCCAGAAGCTTCTGCTGCCTTATCTGAAAAAACAGCAGGCCTCAAAAACGAATGGAGTAACATACGGTAATGACTGCTAGAAGGGCAATAAAAATTCCATCTCTAAGTTAAAAACTGCAGGGTTAACTTAAAGCTTGATTCATAGCACTTATGTTAGTAAGGGAACAGTTTACCGCCTAAGACGTACACAGTGAAAAGACGAGAGGTTCGAAATATATGGCAAAAAATTTGATCAGCAACACAGCAAAGAGTACATGAATCATTCAATCAGCTTGCACACCTGTATCTCTTCCGGAGAGGCTAAGAGCGAAGAGCTCATGGGAAAATTTTTACAAATCCAGTAGATCAGGCAAACATCCAGCGACGAGTATCTCGATTATCCTTGGTTTAAACCACCATTATGATGGAGGAAGGACGAACGAGAGAAAATGAGGAGAGACATGTGATCAACGTGATTTAACATACTACTGAGTAAGGGTAGTATAAAATGGCCGCAGAGGCGTTTGAGGCCAACATGGCACCCTAAACCACCTACTTTCGGACTAGCTTTCGACGAGGAACGTGACTTGTTGCAGTTATCAGCATCGCCTAAATTATCCTGAGAAACCAAAGAGTCAGTCATAATTAATCTAGGTACTCGGTCCTTGTCCCTGATACCCAACATGACGCTGACAATAGCAACAGCAACAAGTTGAAAAGGATAAAACTTATTTCGACTTAGTACCTCACGAAGATTTCACTCAGTCCATTGGCACCGATGGTCTTTACTTTAGATCATATGAGTTTGTAAAGCATTCGAATAGTGCAACCTAGTTGTACAGAATCGACAGAGCGCAGAATCTTTTGTTCTACACGTCTCGAGAGTGTGAGTGCTGCAGGAAGTTTCTAAATTTTGCCTCGATTATGGTAATCACGTTCTGTTTTTGGCTATGCCTTGTGCCGATGATCATAGTCACTATCAGGTAAGTCAGAATGAAGGGTAGTTAAATGTTTTTCTGAAAGACCTCTCTCTTCAGTTCAACCAGGGGGAATCAACGCTTGATTGTAGAACCTCAACAATCGCAGTTTACCGGTTACTATACTTATCATGAAGAGAAGCTCGAGTATCGCAGCATGCGATCACAATACTGGACGGAAGCAGCGGCTAGTTTCATGCTGCCAACGGTCAGTTGATGCAAGAGAACTGTCTTGTATAGGCAAGTTAGCGAAAAGTGAATCATTGCACAAAGAAGTCATCAGTCTGAGGTAACCTCCAAAGTTGAGACACTCGTGCATTATTTTACCATACAATCACTCTTATTAAATATGCAAACATTTAGTACCTTTCGAAATTTTTCTGACAACCCGTCTATCGGAAGGCGACAACATTAAAATACAGCTGCTTTGTGAGGGCACGTCATACTTTCTGGTTACAAATACAGTCCAATGGCGCTCTGCTTCAATCTTCTAGTTTTGTGAGCTTGAGCGAAAGTGCCTGATTGGTCGACATTGAAGATGCGG